GATTTGTGACCACTGTTTGGGAGGGATGGTTATATTGTGTATCTGGAATGAATTTTAGGTCTCTACGTCCATCCCATGGGGAATGGGAGCAGTAACAAAGGTGTTGCGTTTATATTTTTGTTGAGTGTATATAAATAAAACTGAATTAAATGGAACTGATAGTGAAGTACTGGTTTAGGATTTGTCTTCAAAATGCTCACAATAATTTATCATTTATAGCTTTTTCTCTCTTTTCTTTGCAAGATATTGATAATAGTTTTTATATAACAGAGTGAACTACTTCCATAAACATTAATCTGGCAGTTCAAATCGATTATGATACGATTATGATACAATGTCTATTATGTTACTATTATGTACACTCAGTTTCTGTGACTGAAATGAAATCCCATGAGTGTTTATGTAGTTAATAAAATCCATTATATTAGATATTACTGTTGCATAGACGCTTAACAATAGTTGTAAGAGGCAACTTTTTAAAATAAAACTTTTCAGAAAAAAATATTATATTTTATTATTAATAAATATAGCAAAATAATAAGCCAATTTGTAATAAGGTACTTTGAAGATTTTGTTTTGGAATTTGCAACCTGTATGAGACATTTAAACCAAAAAAATCATTTAGATAAATGATTGTACGTATACAAGATGAGTTTAATGATGATGTTTAATGAATGATGTTTGCATCAGATTTAATACACACTGCCTTCACTCTTGGCTCATGGCCAGCCACAACACTTGCAACCGTCATGAAAGACAGATCCAGATCCACACTGGGAAACATGGGTCACGCCACCAGCACAGTTGTAAAAGCTGCTTTGGTCATCTGGGTTTGGGTAAAGGCCATCTGGTTTCCCATTGCAGAATCCCGGTCCCGGGGCATGGGTGGTAGTGGTTGTGGTTGTGGTGGTGGTGGTTGGAGTGGTGGTGCTCGCTCCAGGTTTTGGGGTGGTGGTTGGGAGTAGTGGGGGAAGCTCTGGAAAATACAAAGTTTAAATTCATGTTTATATAAGTCACTGCTTAAAATCGATTCTACCTTCTGAAAATATGCTTGTTTAGAAAATATTACGTCTTCATATCTAAATTTCACAGGTTCTTATGATACCAGTTGCACACTGATTTTTTAAACATAGAAAGACTAAAAGAAATCATTGGCGTTAATCTGCTTTGGGCATACCAATTTCAAGAAGGTTGCGCAGATGAGAGAGCAGAGGATGGGGACCCTCCCCGCAGAATTTTCCTGCAAAGTCATCCAAATCAAGAGCCCACACAAAGGCCCCGCCAAACTTCTGATCTTTCAGGTAACGTACCTATTGGGGAAAAATTAAACAGAGATTGATATCACTACCTTGTACATACACAAATGTGTTAAACAAAAAGAAATGATGCAAGCTTTCTCACTTACCTTGGTTTCATAGCTCTCCTTGTTGTCAAATCCTACCCACTCATTGTTTTTGAAAGCATAGGGGACTTTCTGGTCTTCAATCCAGTTAATGGTGCTGCCTTTCACGAAGGTACAGATCTACAGCACAGACTACATGGTTAACATTTGTCGTTTTATAAATATCATTAGATATCAAAGCAACATATGCTATACATCATGAGGCAATCATTAAATTCCAGCCTTAAGAAATGTACCTCATAATAAGACCAGAATCCAGCTTCACGGGTGTATGGACCAGCTGATGCTGGGCCGCTAGCTGGAGCACCAACACCAGTGTTTGATGATGTCAGGCGGAAGGTACGACCATAAGATGCAAATCCCATCCTCAGCTTCTCCAGTGGGGTGCCATTGTCTCTCCAATATTTCATGGCATAGTCCTATAGAAGTTAAAAAATGTGAAGTTTGTGTTCATAAGAAGGTATGTCTCAAATTCCTTTTATTTCAGTTTTAACTGTTTACGTACAATGTTGAAATAGATAAGGTCACCAGCGTCAAATGATCCACGGTACAAAGGGCTGTTGTGTCCAGTGAATTGCTCCCAAGTTCCATGGAAGTCGTAGGTCATTATATTGATGAAATCTAATTCTCTGCAATAAGAAAATAAACATAAACAGTGACTTTCATGCTTACATTGCACAACTGTCAGATTTCTAAAAGTAGTAGATGAAGTAAGATGGTTTATAAAGCAGGACCCTCACTTGGCTATCTCAGCGATCTCATATCCAGCATCAATGGTTCCTTTTCCAGCAGCAACAGCAGCAGTTAGCATGAGCTGGGGATTGCCGGTAGCTTGGGCTTCAGCTGCAAAGGCAGCAACAAGTTCCTATAAAAGTGCACCACATAACAGTGTAAGAATGGAGTCCATGGGGTGGCTGTAGTTTAGGAGGTATAGCAGATCATCTACCGATTGGAAGGTTAGTGGAATCAGTCCATTTAGCATTTACCATTCAAGTATGATACAAACGAAACAACATCAATGAGATGTAGATTTTAAAAAATGGAGATCTATACCCACCCTGCAGAGCAGAGTAAACCTCTGTTTGTCCTCAGGAGGACTTCCACGGGATCCAGGATACTCCCAGTCCAAATCCAGACCGTCAAATCCATGAGTCCTCAGAAATCTGATAGTAGACTGGATGAACTTCTGACGATTAGCTGCAGTAGAAACTGTGATGGAGAACCTGCAAAAAAACAAAAAAACACAAAAACCAAGTTAACATTTGATCTTTATAGTAAAATCTGCTTAGTGCTTTATGTCTTTAACAGGAGAATTGTGATTAATGTTTGCTGTGTTTAATAAT